AAAAAAAAAAAAAAGAAAAAGGACATCATATTAAGAAAGTTATGATATAGGCAGAAATAGAGAAAAATTGGTAAAAGTCGCTAAACTAGAAATTTATCGATAACTGTATGCAGCTATTTCCTAATAGACTTACTTTATCTTACGTTGGTACACATGTAGCATCTAGTCATTTTACTTTTATGAAAGAGATGAACAAACGAAGAGCATAGTCCCGGAATATAACGGTATTGTGTTCAACTGTAAATAGTGAAATTATTAATAAAGGAAACCGGTCCTGAAACCGTCGATGTGATCAGTAGATCCTCTAGAACTAGAGGAAGATGTTTTTTGTTAGTCTCTAAAAAAGGTTTCTTGTAATAATTGCCGTCAAACTTAACCTAAAAGGCGCTGTGTATTCTTATGTTTCAGCTACGTTATAATACAACGGATACAGTGGAAAACATTCATTACGCACTTGGCGAAAGTGCTGCGACTGTTCATAGTTGTTATCAATGCATCTAACCATTTTTGCAAAGTTTCTGATTTATTAAAATATGTATGCACGCGAGAAACACACACACAGAACTGAATATTTATTTAGCATTGCTTGTTCATAAATATCATAATGGAATGCCTACTTGGAAAATTGATGAAAAAGTTGTATTCAACAAAATTTTAGTTTATTTACCAAGACATGACACAGCGAATGAAATAATAAAGTATTAAAGCATAATAAAATACTCATGATCGGCAACTGTACTATGGAATTTATAGTTCAACAAATTGTAAATGAATACTGTTCTAAATAATGATAGAAATTAATGTGTGAGAGTATAACTGAAAAAAATGAATAAATGAAAATGTAAGTATAAATATAAAATATAATTAAAATATGAAAGTAAATAATAGGATAAGTAAATAGAAATAAAACATAAAATTAAATAACTATAAATATAAATAAATAGAGATTAATTCTAATCATTAAAAGTTGCTTGTAATGTATAACTATATATGCACGTATATTATTCTCAAGAATTGAATTTGTAGAAAACGTTTTTATACATGTGTAATGAACAGAACTCATATATATAATATTATAGCAATCTAATATTACAAAAGTTATAGTACAGGTTACATAGGTTGTCTTCCGGAACCGGTTAGATGCGTTGACTTTATTGCTAATTCTAAAAACTGCAAAGTGTCAGAAATTGCGAACGACAGTGAAAGCAATAAATTTTAAAATCTAAACTGTTCTTTTACACCTTCAGTTTCAGTCGTAAGAACTGGCCAATCGTATCATGGGAGATGAATGCCTTGATTACCATGAGTCGAGTGAAATCTGGTTTGGTAGGATAATTCCATGACACTAGTGATATGTATTTAGCGAATGTCGATAAGATTCGTACGAAAAAAAACCCGAAAAATACAACATAAAATATAGAGAAGGAAAACTAAATACAGCGATAAACTAATTGCAAATTCGGATTGCAATACTCAGCATGGACTTTTGAGAAGCTTTCTACAAATAATTGTGCACAATTATTTTTGCTGCTAACTTGCTTCAATTTGAGTTCATTCATCAAATAATGTAAAAAAGTAGCAGCTACTACGCTGAAAATATTTTTTAATCTCAATATCCCACAAAAATCAAAACAAATTTGTAAAATCTATAAATATAGAAATAATCTGGGGCCACAATTTTAAAAACTCAGAATTTTATAATATAATTTTGTAATATTTAAATTCACATAATTGGCAGCCATCTACGCAACGTTATTAAATGAAATGAATTACTTTTTACACAGACATGTGTAACATTGTCTAATTCTATATAACCATAATGCGTACAAAAGATTTTGCTGCAAAAGTAAAAAGTATATTTTTATAATTCTTTGCATTCTTGATGTACGTGTGATTTAATGCACAGAACGCGAACATCCAACAGTTCAAAGGAACTGTTGTAAAATCCATCCACGAGTGTAAAAACGGCACCAGTGCGACAAGTACCGAAGAACATACTTGAAAACGTTTCAAAAAGAAACGTTCATAATGGAACAGCAGAGTGCACAAAGCCATATACGAGAAGCGTTTACGCAGAGATTCATTGTACATTGTACAAAAGCAACTACAAAAGGAATTCGCAAATGGGTAGAGACCATCCATTATCTGCTCCACTAATATACGAATCTGATTGCTTTCAAAACAGCTGAAACTCGCTTTCCAAATATCACATTGTTTCTACAAAATTGTATATTACAGGCATTACTCGCATAAAATGCATGTAATACACAAGATAATATCTTTAAGAACAATACACAAGAATATAATCTTTAGTTCAATTTCCTTTTAACCCTTCACAGATTGCTGGTAAGTTTCTAATTGTTGTACTAATCTATTGGTATTATATTTAATTACTCTCAACATTTCCTGATCTTCAGTCATAAATATTTTTATTATCATTTATAAAATGAGCACGAACGTACTTGTAATTTTGTTCAGATTTATCTTTTTGACTGAAATGTGTGCTTCTTTGAAATGCTTTGTGGCCTTCAGCAAATTTGTGTTTCGCCTATTTCTATCTATGCCTGGCCTAGAAAAGAGTTAATTGTATTAACGTATGAATTGTACAATCGTACTAAATTTGTATGAATTTACACGAGCGTCCCTTCGTTTAACGTTGACCATGAGCAGTCGTATGTATTCATGCAAATATACTCGGTGTATTTACCGGCCAAAAGCAGACACGCTGGTGGAGACCGGAAACGGTAGTCCAAGACTAAGGCCCCTGAGACCCAGATGAGGCGGTGGAAGATGCAGGAATCCCCTGGTGGGAGTGACCAGCGGTACACCCGGCGCTGTGGAGGTAGCCTGACATCCCGCCGACGTTCCAGGATAAGATGGTGGCATCGAGCACGATCTCAAGGCTCGACGATGCTGCCTCCGCAATCGCCTCTCTCTTCGACGAGCACTGCGAACACCGTCCAGATCCTCCAGCGCCTCTGGACCACTTTGCAGTGGGAGTTCCGTTTGCGCCTCCGTTGAAGTGAAAGACCGCGCATTGTCCCGCGATTCCTGCGAGGTTCGCAGAAAAAAATTCAACTTCTTTACACGTGCACGTATCGTATTACGAGTCATCGGACACCACTGACGAATTTCGTTGCAAATATGAAAATATTAAAATATTATTTACTATTGCTATTTCCTGTCCATCGAGTATCATACGAATTAATTCAATTCATCGAAAATGCAAGTAATTACTCGAAACTCGAGGAACGTTGCAATTAACGATGGCAGAAGCCATCATCATACAACATGTAATTATACACTGCGAATGGTGAAATTTAAAAAACGCGAGGAATATCCCAATGTGTATTGTATGTATATGAAGACACATGAAATTTCCAATTTAAAATATATAAATATCCATTTGGTGAAACAAAACTATCTAATTACGGCGGATATTGTTCGTATTTACAAATGATATATTTCTATGGTTCATTTTGTAACTTTTGTTTAATATCACTTTCTACTGGAAGAGAAGAAAGAAGAAAAAAAAAAAAGAAGAAGAGAGGTTTGCAGGCCTATTATCCATTTTTCTCTACTAATTAGAAGGAAAACACGATTGACCGTGCGAAATAGACGATAATAATCTGAATTTTCACCCGTGTACATAATACGGGCATCCTGTCACGTTTGTGACAGGCGAGGTGAACTCGAAATTGTTTCTTTTGCCATTCTATATCCAACTGCACTTTCGCGCGTTCTCTCCCATTCTAATCACGGTTTCGTGATTTCCGTTCCTTATTACTTGCTACGTAATCACTTGCGTTTAACCTTTTAAATACGATATGCAAAGTGATACTGTTAGACAGAATTAACTGTTTATTTTATTACTAACTCTGCTACAGTTCAATCCTACATTCGGTTTAGCAAATAAAAAGGATTTGTAATGTTTCAAGAAAAGCTTTTAACCTAGACGTCACGCGTATTAACCTCTTGCGCTGGCACGGACCTTAACGAGTGACCAAACCGTATACAATAATTCGTCGCTTTCTTTTTGAACTTGTCGGTATAATATTACTGGCTAAAAATTATTACTAAAGAAGTAATGAATTTATTATTTGTTCTGCCTAGGTTATATTTCAATATATTTAAAACTGGAAAAATATTGCAATTTTGGGACGAGGTTAACAAAAAATGTAAGTTGAGGTTTAGGTTAGGTTGGATGAGGTGTCTTTTATTTCACGAAAACGCAAGATAAAAGATATAAATACAACAAATATACAAACATAGAATTTTAAGAAAACGTAAGTCAAAAATGACATTTTAAAACATTTTAACTCGGATAAATAAATTAACTCGTTATTACGAGCTGTTTATCGTTCTCCAAATAAATTGCATATTTATTACTCGATAAAATCTTGAATCTCATCATTATGCGAAGTGCGTGCAATTAAATGAGAGTAATGAGATCACATTTCTTTTCTTTTTTCAAGAAATAGCGCCACTGTAAGCAGAAAAATGAGCCTACTACGTGACTCGACTTCGACGCGTCAAACTCGAACGACGGTGTAATTTGGATAAATACACGTTTCGGTGATAGGCACCGCGCGAATGGGAAAAAAAAAACAGAAACATGCGATTGACAAAGGAACAAGGCGGAATCCTATAGTCGTCGAGCTCGCAATAAAACTGCAATGGAAAGTAATATACGAAGAAATATTCGATACGTATCGGAACAATCGTTCGTATTATTGGAAGCCAAGGAATGGAATATTACGGCATATTTCGCGAAATATCTCGCGAACTATTGGGTATGAGCAACGATTTAAATAAGAGATTCAACTATGTCGAGAATTTGTACAATGCATTTTTTTTTTCTTTTTTTCAACGAAGTCCGCGAGGAACGGAAAAAATATTCAAGATTTAAATTGAGAGGAATCGTATGAGAGTCTAGTTCGAGTTGGTAGAACTGCAAAGGGCAATTTGAATGTGA